GTCATTGGAGGTGGCTTGAGTAGACAAGATTCTTCTATTGAACCTTCGAACTTCTGCATGGAGGTCTTTCCAGAAATTCTTCCAAACCTCCGATAAGATTCATACTTACAGGTTCGAAGAAACAGTGAATCTTTGACGGCCATGGGCAGACTTCATGCAGCAACGTCTTGCCACCAATCTTCCCTTCACTTTAAAGTCGACAAATGAAGCATTGTTACTTTTTTACAGCCACTGAGGAAACTTGAGTTAAGAGTTATAATTCCGACTCATTGACTCCACAATCACATGGTAAAACCTTCACTCATCCTCCAACCTCCACCCTCCCCGTATCGAGATACACACATTGCTCCTGACAGATGGGCGCTCTACAGTGAATGATGGGGACGCGGAAGTTCAGAGGTTTTATTGGTTCCATACCAAAAAATACCTCAGAGCACCACCCAGCTATAGGCACTAGACGATTATGCCGACCTGATGCCTAATTTCGCTGTGAGTTTTTCAGTTTCGATTCAATTCACACCAACAATATGACTTAGAAGAAGAATTTTGAAACTCGCAATTGTTGAAAAACCGCCAACTGACGAAGAACCTCTCTGTTGGCCGCCAAACCGTCCTTTGTGGGTTCTTTTACGCTCAGTTCACTGAAGCAGATCAGAATTCTGTTTTATAGAAATCCAGCCTGCACATGATGCCGTTTATCCTATTTTTTGTCAGTCAGTTTCCTTTTTTAGTAAAATTTGGGGGCAGTGGACATAAATGGCTGGGGGCGGAATGGTTTGCTGCCGAACGTCACTCGGTGGAAGGGCTGAAAAATGGGCATTTGACACACCTTGGCAGCAACGCAGTCCTCGGCCTTCAACCTATGAGCGCTGATCTGCATACTAAGAGAGTAAGATGATGACACGAAGACTCAGTGCAGTGTCGACGAGATTGGTCTTAATCCTTGATAAAATAGTTTCGTAGAAAAGCAGGAACTGAGATTCATCTGCGAAAGCTCCCTTCGATCTTCCCGCAAATGTCAAAGGAAATACATGAATAGTCTCGCTTCGCTTCCCCTCACTAATCATGTACAACAAAATCTACTGACTTGATTAGCTGGTATTACAGGATTATTTTTGATTCTATAAGGAACTGCAATGTTGCCGATGGTAACTAGTGCTGGTTGGCATAGTATTAGCACTTCTGTCCATGAGAGCCTGTTTAGGGGATGTCACTCCTGGGCTCTTCCTCTAACCTGTATGGGTACCTTGGGTACTTAGTTCTGCCCATAGTCAGGGATGTGTTAGCGCTTGCCAGCTTTGTCTCTTGTTTTCCCGCTGTGTCGAATACTTACATGGTTCGAGGTATTCGCCCTAGGACCCTTGCTCTCACCATGAGCTTACTTTCCTGAACGTAGACCCCGTACAACGGCCTCAGGGTTAGCTAGTCAGGAGGTGAAGTCCCACAGGAGCACCAAGTTTTTGTCCCCAGCAAAAACTTTTTCGTGACACACCATCCGGCTTCGCCAGGCGCTGTTCTTTTTACTTTAGTTAGAATGTGTAAAATGTTGCCAAACTGTATCAAAAAGCACTTCTAAACCGAAATCCAAAAAAAAATAAAAATAAATCATCTTCAGTTACATCACTCCTTATTTCATGCTTTTCATCCGTGATCTCCTCGAGGAGGCTTCACCATTCAATAATGATCCATTGGACTTCATGAGAAAGGAACAATGTTGAAGTAGTCCGAATGTATAGTGTAAGAACACCGTCTCATTAGCTACAGAAAGACGGAACTGCAGTGAGCGGCAGCGAAAGAAGAAGTCCATTTCCTTTCGTTGATTCAAAACCTGCATCACATGGGATTCCATGAGGCTTACCATCTTTGTGGAACTCCATCTTACGATATCATCGCTGTGACCCCTTGACATCCTCCCTTCTTCTGAAATGGCAGGCCAACTCTAATCATCCTTATTTAACGCAGCAGAAGACCAGAAAACTTTTTCATTGTTAATTTTTCGTGTCTCAACGCGGACCGTATAATTCCTCCCTCCGTTCCTCGTTGAGCGGTTGAGTAGGTGTTTGGTTGTCCCCACATTGTTAGACAGTGACAGGTAAAACTGTAAATAGACAAGTGACAGGTAAAAGGCCGAGTTTGCACCACAAAAAGTTTCTTTCCGTAATTTCCTTACTTCCTCGCGCATCATTGATGCTCCCGTCCTAGCTACTGTATCACCTGCTGGCTTCTAATTAAAACTTCCTACTGCTGTTGTGACACGTACTATGAAGTTGAATTTGGAACCCACCCTTCTTAAGGCCTCCTATCGGACCTCAGAAGCTGGTATCCCTTTCCGCCTCCCATCGCTGATGCTCCTATCACATCGACTGTGTGAGCTGTGAAAGCAACCATCAAAAGCTGCTGCGAAGTTCGTTATCATTTTTGGGATTATTGGGTAGGCTGGTTACCTAATGGTAACCTAATGGTATGGATAACTTTGATCTCAGGCTACAGAGCGGGCTCGACCTCCCTGAGGTTCTCTTGATTGTAAAGTATCATTACCAGTTACACTGTCCGATCTCACGGCAAGTCAGAAACAGTGGCTGAGAAAAGCCGCGTCGGTCATTCCAAGGTCCTTGTTAGTGATCCAAAAGATGACCACAGACACGTCAAATGACGTGCCTTCATAATGTTCACTCGAGCAGGGCCCGGACTCTAGACCTACTGAGCCCCTCCAGATGTTCCTCACGCCGCGTACGAAGGGTGTCTTGTTTCACCTATTTACACTCGGAATCCCTGAGACGTGGTAGGCGTGGCTGCGTTCTTCAGCTAAACGTGGCAGGATCTGTGCTTTTAAAGAGATCTTTTCATTCTGACACAGTCGTGGTCCTTTCTCTGTCTAACACGGGACAAGAAGTCAGTTGTCTCAAAGTGAAATCTCACGAGCATACTATGCCATATTCAAATGCCACGCCCACTCCGTTTCAGGGACAGGGAGCGAACTCACTGCTGCAGTTCTGGCAGTGTAACGAGAAATGCTGACTTCATTCAGTAGCCATGCCTGCCGAAGGGACAAACAACACAGTCGGGGTACACAAAGTTGTCACAAAACCGGTTACGAACTTGGTGTTGTTTCATGTTACCCGGGGGTATGTCCACATCCTGATGTCCTACAAATCCTATCTATGCAAGTTTGATAGGAATGCCCCGCTCACCTATTCGGAAAAGTAGGGCAGGCAAAAAGAACTTTATGAGGAGGTGTCGTTCGGGGTGCCTCAACACGTGTCGTTCTGGGTCCCTCGACAATACCCCCAATGCGTCGTTCCGGAGCAAAGATACCCTCTTGATACCGCTGAAATCCCTGCCGATAGCTTCCATTTGAAACAGTGGACCTTAGGAGAGGATAAACATCAAATCGTTCAGAACTGGCTGTATTACTTCAAACATACCCCATCTTAGCCACTGTCGTTGTCAGTGAAGTGGAAAAATGATTCTGCAGGGCTGTACAACCTTCAAAGGTCAACGTGAGGCTCCGAAAGATTCATCTCAGCAAAGGCATTAATACATATTATTATTTGAAAAGCAAGTGAATATGCAGTTGCACGAGAAGAGGAGGTGTCAGTGATACCCAGCACACAGTATGAGCCACGCTTCACACGTTCAAGATACTATTAGTGACTTGGACTTATCGTTGGTTAGCCGGGATGTTGGAAACATCATAGGGGAGGTACATAGTTGAATTTGAGTTCACCAGCTTGCTCTCCGCCAATTGCTGAAAAGGGCAAGTGGTAAGAGTCACTGGAAAAGGTATGCGCAGCGGCAAGCACGCCAAAGCATCAGGGAGCGATCAAGACGACTTAGAAAAAATGAGGCGTACTCAATGTCGTACTGTATCATATGGTGCTGCATGATCACATACGCGTATACAACTGTGAGGTAATGAAGAGGAAAACCTCCACTGAAGTCAGAAAAATGAAGCAAGCTTGAATTCTTCTATTTGCTTGCTGTTATATTAGTTGTAGCGACAATTCCCCAGCACCTTTGCAGTTCTAGCGACCAAACTTTCAAACTATGGGTGTATACAAACACCTCGTCCTCGTCAACACACTCGAAACTATAAAGAAGCGAGTTGTGGCCTGCACCAGAAGTGGTGGCACATAGCTCGAGAATTCTCCAAAATTGTAAAATTTTTTGGTTCATGTTTTTACGAAAATAATTTTTTCAGAGCGCATGAGGAAAATTGACTGCGCTTCTGATGGTGCTCGTCTTTTTTGCCACCCTGTATTTAAGGACTGAAGACCTCCAAAGTAGCTTTTGATGGGGCAGTTCGGCGACTGGGGGGGGGGTGGGCATTTTGCTTCTTTGCTTCCTCCCATCGACGGGTCGACTCATCCAGAGAGCCATTTCATGAGCTTACAGGAGTCGACAGATTTTGCCATGTATTTCAACGAATTTTTCCTTCAGCTTCACAAGACTGTACAGGTTTCACCAGAGTGAGATCTGTAAACCGGAAGCAATGAAGCAGGGAAAGGGAAAAATGTCTCCTGTCGCAGAACAGTGCCGCTTTTGATAACTGAAAGAAACAATCACAAACAAAGCTAAGGAAAGCCATTCTGAGGTTTTCGAGAGGGGGGGGGAAGCGAAGTGATCGGTATTCGAATTAAATTCTGTACTGCTCAACGGGTTGATTGATTATAGCTAAGACGATTGATATGCACATAATTATGATTGAATATTCCACCTTGGACATCGAAGGGCTCCATAAAAGTAAAAAGAGCTCTATAAAAGTCCGTTGTGAACGTTAGGCAACATCCTTTACCGCTTTCGTAAAGGCATTCCCTTTCCCGCACCCACGTTCAACTATGCTCATTACTTGTGTAAGAAGAAATTCTCAATGAAGCTCACAGTTTTTCAGAATGAAAGCCGCTTTCATCTTGCTCGTAGCCGTCGCAGCTGCGGTCGCTGCCAGCGAAAGCAATAGCTCCAGATACATTTTTTATCAAAGAAACTATCGTCTGACATTCATGAGGGGCGTTACTGACAAAGGCATAGCTGAGTACGGTAACATCATTTATGGCAGAAATCTCACACTCGCTCAGGAACAGGAGAAAATCGCTGCTTGGGCAAAAAAGTATAATCGCACAGTACGTCCAGCTCCCTCTACCTGACATTACCGTGACAACACATCTTTCTGGAGACTTTCTATTTTTCAGGAGCAGGTGAAGAAATTCAGAGCCGAAAAGGATGCAAGCTTCAAACAGCTCGAGCAGCGGATCATCAAAGTGTTCGAATCTTTACCAGCCACCTTCCAAGAGTACCTGAAAATCCTGAAAAGTGCAGACAAAACCGTGGCTGAGATAAAGAAAGAAGTGAGAAGCCTATACCGCAAGAATAAAAAGGTGGGAAAACTTACATTTTCCATGCACTAAGCCATCTACTTTGAAGAGCTTTACTCGAATGAGTTGTGACAATCATAACCCTTGCAGGTGTTCTCGGCGATGGATAGAGCTCTAGCCAGTTTCAATGACTGGCCTCGCAATCGCTTCCTACCTTACCGGGGCCAGTGCATTCGCATTCGACCTCAGCTTGTTCATCGTGTCCACCATAGCAAGCTGCCCTTGACAGCTCGCAATGGAAAGACCAAGACTTCGGGTAAGAAAAAGCGAAGAATAATATCGTTCAGGGACCGCTAAGGTAATCGATTTAGTAGATTTTACTCGGGTAATACTCGAAAATAGCTAATTCCTCTTCTAGTAGTGATCGTTAGAGCTTGCGATGTTAGCCTGACAGCTATCGCCTCACTTATGTGTTTGAAGAAAAACTTTACACGTACCTCCGCGGATGCTGATTCTTGATTCTTCAGAAGATAACGGGTCCGCAACTGCAGTAGTGTTAACTTTTCAGCGCAAAAGTTCACTAGAACGGGACTGAAGGGAAGTGCTATATCTGACTGCGCGCGCAGTGCTTCACGGCCGGCCACATCCCTATCCATAGCCAAACGCTTCTTGGGGGGCCCCCTACTTTTGGTTGCTCTCTACCGCTAAATGCGCGTTTCGCAGCGAGACTTTGGTAATACGCAACTGCTGCACCCTAAGTGCCGAGGATGGAGCGGGCGAAGCACAGTCCCCTGCAAACGTGTGATGCAACACGTACGAGCGTAGCAAAGAAAGCTTTAATGTTCCAACGATGGTGATTTTCTGAGTCCGCTGCAGTCGATGAGAACTCTGCTCTGGCTGCGCTGCAAGCCACGCGCCCGTCACACTCCTTATCCCTATATGACTATGTGGAGACGGTACTTGGGTACCACTAAACTACAGCACCCACTCCCTTTCACTCTGAGCGGAGAAAGTAGCACGCGCTGCAGAGCGAATCCAAAACAGGGACCGCCATCGGAGGGAATACCATTTGTGTCTAAGTTTCTGAAGCACTGACAAGTCGTGATGGCATCTCACTCAGGTAGATCAGGTTCCTTCGGAGAACTTTATATCAGGTTAGCTCAAGAGTTCTCGACCATTTTAGAATCTCGTATCAGATCTTTCCGAAGCCATTTCGAGATACAGTAATGTGTCCTTGGAAAGTGTATTGAGTGAGCATCCCACTGCTTCTTCTACCATCCCTCGCAGTCGCTGTTCTCATATTCCATATCCGAGCGGTAATTGAAATTCATCATTTCCTATACACTTAGCTGCATGAATCTTCACCAAGCCATAGTGTGGTTGGAGCCAAAAGCGGCATTTTTCGTGAATAGGTCCTCTTCCTTCCACAGTACGGCGTTTTTGGAACGATCGCTTTCGATTTAGTGACTTCTACCAGAAAAACTTCGTCCAGGGAGGCCACCTGCCATGGGTTTAGACCCGATGTGTTCCTTGATTAAAACCAACTCGCACAAATTATTAGCTATCTAGTCCTTACACTTGACTGCTCCAAAAGCACAGATGGCTCGGAGTCTCGCTCAACGAGTATTGAGGTCGGGCAGAATATTCCTCGTGGGTTGACAGATACTCAACGGGAAGAGCATGTGGGTACCCTCCGCAACTTCTCTCCCGCTTCCGCCATACGGACTGGATGAACAGCGTTGTAACTGGATATAGGGTGCTGGGTAACCAGCGAACCCTACTGTAATCAACTGCGAAGGGGGATGAAAATCCCCACCATTTGGTCCCACAACCGAGCAATGTTTGCCTACTCCACCACAGCTCAGGGTCACACGTTTCGAAAATGACACTGCTCGAGATCCTAGAAGCTTAGCTGGGAAATTCCACCACGCCCTTCGTGTAGCCGCTGACTTAGACGATTCTTGAGAGTACCTCAGAAATAACCCAGCTGCCTTTCTCGGCACGGAATCAAAAAGCTTCTGGAAGCAAGGCAACCACTCTTTGCCTGGTGGTTGGCAACAAGTTGCCGATGAAGGTAACATATATATTGTTGATCAAAATTGCTTCTCACTGGAATAAACTTAACTCGAAAAAAAGTTCGAAAGTGTCACGAACTTTTGGGGCAAAACCTGATGCTTTTGCTTGAAGGTCTTTCCTGAAATTTTCGAACTTTCCATCAAAGTCATTCTTACAGGTTCGAAGAGACACTGAAGCGTTGACGACCATGGACAGACTCCATGCAGCAAACGTTTGCCACCAATCTTTATTCCAGTTTAAAGTCGACTGAATAAAGCATTCTTATTTTTCCACAGCCGTTGAGGAAACTTGTAACATTAACAGTTAAGATACACTTGACCAAAAATCGATGGTAAACCCTCACTCAACTCCAGCCCCCCCCCCTGTTCCCCCTTGTTATCAAGACACAGAATATACCTGACAGATGGGGGCTCCAGAGTGAATGAATGGGGATGCAGGAGCTGAAATGTTCTATTAGTTCGCGCCAAAAAAATGCCAGTTAAGCACTGGAGATATCCACTGAGCTAAACTTCGCTGAGGAACTTACTTTCCATCAACCACACCATAAACGACTCGGGAGAGCAAATTCATAGAAGAACGGTCGCTAAACACTGAAGAGACTCCTTTACCGCAAACTGTTTGTAGATTTTTGATGCTAATTCACCTGGAAGCAATCACTGGTAGTAGTGTGGTTCTTGTGGTATAGGGCCGAGATTTCATTCACCGCTACAATTTTTGTCAGTCAGTCCTTCCCGTAAGGAATAAACACGGCTTTAGACAGGATGGCTGGGGGCGGGTGGTTGCTGCCCACAGCATCGGTGGTACGGCTGCGAAAGAGCTTTTGGCCACAGTCTAAATGGCTAACCACGAGAAACTAGGTGACGGTGCTAATGGTAAGTATTGATGGTGCGATTAGTAGCAACATCATGAAGCCTGTTCACCATATCACTCCGTTCCTTCTAGAGGAGCTGCATGGCTACTAGCCTGTACGGCTACTATGGGGACTTAGTCCGCCCATGGGCAAGGAAGTGATAGCGCTCGCCAGTATTGCCTTGGTCTTTCTGTTGTCCCGAATGGTAATACGGATAGAGGCACTCGCTTTGGGGTTCTTGCTCTAACCATAGTTTATTAGGTTGTCCGGAAAGTTCTTAGCGTTTTGGGTGTTTAACTTTAAACGATCATAACTTTCTTAACACTCATCGGATTTAATCCAATAATAAGCACCATTCGAATACAAGCACACATTTAGACCTTTTTCCTGCGGCAAGATACTCCTATTTGGCCAATATGAGACCACGCAGGTCGCAGAAATCCATCAAAGAATAAAAGAGACTGGGTGGTAAAGAGAACAATCCGGCACGAAACTCTGCGAAAAAAAGTCTATTTTCTGCCCTGGTCCTGTTCTGACGAAGTAGATTCTCAGCAGTGCAAGAAGTTTGAGAGAATGATTCCCTTCGAAGAAAGACGTGACAGCAATCCGCTTGGCTAGTTGATATTCCAGTCTTATTAGGAAATAGTAAAATTGTGTGGGTCTCCAATCGGCTGAGCTCAAAGACACTCAACATCCCAATGGTCGAGGAGTGTTGAATGGATAGTGATTTGGTGAAGAGTGGTGGGCGGCAGGGTGTGTCGATGCGAGAGAGAGAATACGGGGGACGCGCTGTGTGGCGTTGTGGTGAGTGAGAGGGTGGGTGTGCTTGCAGTTGGCAACAAATAATTGGATCAATATTTTCGCTTTTGACATTCTCTCTGGTCACGTAATGCTTGTTTCCACTAGATTATAAGGACTGTTAAAACTAGTCCCCGAGCTGAAAGGTGATGGTGTTTAAAGAGCGCAATGGAATGATAATGAAAATCGTAAGTTTATATGATAGAAGTTTATAAACTACACAACAGCCCGAGATAAACACCTCAAAGCCCAAACTTCTGGCCGGCGACCGACAGCCTCAAAAAAAACACTTGACACCAGAACATTAATTTTTTTGTCGTACGAAGGGGCTAGTCGGAAGACCAAACAATGGTGTGATGAAATCGTACCCTATTTCGCAGGTAGTTCATAACCCAAATATTCCCGGAGAACCAAGCACCCAGAAAAACTTAAACCGGGACCAAAACGGCAATCACCCTCTGCTGCCGATCTCAGTCTACAAATCTTATTCACTGTATGCCCATTCCTCAATTTCATGCACCGAAGGTGACCATAAAATCCGTAATGCAATAAACGGTCAATTCTTTTGCGCAAAAGCAGTGAAGAAGGAACCTCGAGACGTGCCGATTCCTGCCGGTCACTCCGATTGTGGGGCACCCAATTGTCGAGTTTTTTCACCTTCCCAATGCGTTCCAGACCATCTGCAACAGTGGATTTGCCAAGGCCTAGCTCTTCTGCTATCTCTCGAACTGTTTGGGATGGGTCACCTTCAAAATCCCCCTAAAATCCTCGTCAGATATTGCTTTAGGTCGACCGCTATGAGGCTCACCTTCAAGGCTGAAATTTCCAGAACGACATTTGTTGAGCCATTGCGGCACAGTGCTTTCTCTAGCACTAATTGGGCCTTCCACACCTGGTTAATTTGTTGAGCTGTTTCGATTGCGGATTGCCCCAATTTATAGCCGAAGAAAAAAATCGTCCGAAGTGCTCTTTTCACATGCTTGAAAAAATCTTGAAAAAGAGGGTTTATCAAGCAATGGTGAAACGGCAATTATATCAGATAGCGCAAGAAATTCTCTACAGGATGTGCTACTGAGAAGCAAGGCAGAATGAGTTTTTAATCAGCAGTGAATGTACAAAGATTAGGTGCACAAAACGCTAAGAACTTTCCGGACAACCTAATAGTTCGGTGAAGCGTAGAGCCAGTAGAAAGTCAGCTCAGGATTAGCTGGTCAGGAGTGAAACATCCACAGAAACACCAGCACTTACCCCCGGCAAAAAAAACCTCCTTGTGACACTGCCCTGTCTTCGCCAGGCGCTCTCCTTTTACTTTACTAGGATGTTAAAATTTTCCGGATGATCAAAAGATAGTTCTAAAAAATCCGGAAAAATAGGTCAAAATTAGCTTCATATCAATCATGAGTCACACAAATCAAATTACTCTAGCTACTTCTTGTTTTTTTCCGTGGTTCTTTCGAGGGGGCTCCACCATTTAATTACAGTTGTTGTGATTTTATAAGAAAGGACCATTATCAAAGTAGTCCAAATATGTAGTGTGACATACAGTCTCTTGTTACCTCTAAGATGACACAACTGTAGTGCAATGAGCCGCAGTGGGAGAAGAACTCTATTTTGTTTCGTAGATGTCAGAGCCTACATCACCTAGTGATCCCATGCAGCTTTTCATCGTTTTGATATCTTCCTCTGAGCCGTCAACATCCTCCCTTCTTCTGAAATGTCTGCGACGAACCATTTCCGTACCATCCTTATTAACCACGGAGCATAGGAGTTTCAGAAAACATTTCGATTGTTAATTTCTCACGTCTCAACGAGAACCGCGTAATCCCCCCCGCTGCTCGTTGAGCGGTCGAACAGCAGGGTTGGTCCCTAATACGGCAGTTATTTGTGAGTTGGAAATTTTCGTAAAAAGTCAAAAGCCTAACAAGCGAGTTATACGATAGAATGCGCGATTTTCTCAAAGATTCTGACTGCCATTGATTTTACGAGTGCCCAAAGTTCGGTGTCAAGTCGACGAGGTTCAGCATTTCCGACTCCCTCTCCTTCTTATAA